ATGAAAGGAAATATAGATCTTCTGGTCTTGAAATTGATAAACAGATTTTTAGAGACTATTGTAACGGCTATTATCGACGTCTGAACGATGCAAAAACATCATACCATCGAAATCGTTTTAGTAATGTTGACCAGCGGTCTCTTTTTCGTGAAGTAGAAAAGATGACCAGTGGAAAAAGGACAAACATTTTTCCCTCTTCTCTGGTTGACCCAGCCGATCAATTCTTAACTTACTTTAATGATAAGATTCGCAATCTTCACAGTAAATTATGCGAAACTCCTGTCTTAGAACCAAATATTTATCTCCGTCCATGCACATGCAGCTCAAGTTTTTCATCTTTCTTGCCTGTAACAGAGACCTACATTAAGCAGATTGTTTTGAAATCTCCTACAAAGTTTTGTGAATTAGATCCAATCCATACTGTGGTTCTGAAACAATGTCTTCATGTGGTCTTAACACCTATTACGAATATTGTTAATTTATCTTTGGGCGGTGGTTCCATGCCAGATGCTTTGAAAGTTTCCCAACTTGCACCTGTCCTAAAGAAAATATCGATGGATCCTGAAGATATGAGTAGTTTTCGTCCAATCTCAAATTTACAGTTTATCTCGAAGACGATCGAACGAGTCGCATCTCCCCAACTTATCGATTATCTAATGGAAAATAAAATATATCCAAATCTCCAATCTGCGTTCAGAAAGGGATATAGTACTGAAACAGCTTTTTTACGTGTTCAAAACGATCTCTTAGAGGCACTTGATTCTGGCCATCAAGCTCTTCTAGTAATGCTCGATTTTTCTGCAGCTTTCGATACAATTGACCATCAAATTCTACTTGGCCGTCTGAAATCTCGCTTTGGAATTTGTGGTACAGCTCTATCCTGGTTTCGGTCATATCTCACATCTCGAACTCAGTATGTAAAAGTAAACGGTAAAACTTCGGCATCAACTCCGCTATTACAAGGTGTGCCTCAGGGATCGGTTCTCGGACCATTGCTTTTTTCTCTTTACGTTTCTCCACTAGAAGATATTTTTACTGCCCATGACATTGATGCTATGATCTATGCTGATGATACTCAACTTTACATTATTCACGATTCTGACACTGCCATTCAGCGTCTTGAACATTGTCTTCATGATATTCAGGCTTGGTGCCTTCAAAACAAACTGGTTTTAAACGATGGAAAAACTGAAGCTATTTATCTACATTCTGCATATGCTAAATCATATCCAGCTCCTCCCAGCGTCTATATTGGTGATAGCTTAATCAAGATCAAAACTGAGGTCCGTGACCTTGGCGCCATTGTGGACGAAAATCTCTCTCTGAAGAGTCATGTAAATTCAATCTGTAAAACAGCTTACATTGCTTTGAGGAACATTGGCAGTATACGGAAGTATCTTGACCAATCGACTGCGGAGCGGTTGGTTCATGCTTTTGTCACATCTCGTCTTGATTATTGCAACAGTCTCCTCTATGGGCTTCCACAACGTGAGATTGAGAAACTACAACATGTACAAAACACAGCCGCTAGAATTGTGTCAAGGTCAAATAAAAGAGAGCATATTACTCCCATTTTGAAAGAACTTCATTGGCTTCCTATACAAAGCCGTATCCAATTTAAACTTGGGTTAATAGTATTTAAAGCTTTAAATAATTTGGCTTCATCCTATCTTCAAAACCTTCTGAAAATACATCAGCCTTCGCGGTGTTTAAGATCTGCTTCTAAAAATTTGCTTCAAGAACCAAGGACAATCACGAAAACATATGGCGATAGAACATTTAGGAAGGCTGGATCGGCGTTTTGGAATAGCCTGCCTGATGAATTGAGACTAGAGACATCTGTTGATATTTTTAAAAATAAACTTAAAACTCTTCTTTTTAACCAAGCTTACAGTTAGTTCTTAGTATTCGCAAATTTTTAACTATATAATCTAATATATACTGTATTAATAAGTAATACCATTGTAATGAGCATTGAGAAATTTTTGTAAATGCGCACTGAAGAATTAAATTATTATTATTATTATATGATATGAAAATTCGCATGGAGTTCAAGACAAATAAACTCGACGAATAATGAGAATAACTTCGTGTTTATCAAAGTACTGCAATTGTTTCGACGTTTATCTCCCAATCAAGGACGAAATAGGCTGTTTTATATACTTACAGAAAAAGGAAAATCACGTCCCCCTGGGCCTTAAGTTAACTGACTGTACGAAATGATGGAGCCGCTTAGTTTTTTTATGAACGTTGAGCGTTGTCTGAGTATTGCTATTGCTCTTTTTGTTATTTCCATGCACAAGCTACGTGAACAGATATATTATTAATATTCAATCTGTTTATGTTAATTTGATTTTTGTTTTCGTATATTTGATCTGACATTTGAGTAGTGAATATGCAAAATTGATGAAATTAGATGAATAGTATTGTCAAGCCTGCTGTTACCTTTTTCAAAACATCTGCATGCTAAGAAAGAGATTTCAATTTCATAATGGCAGTGGCACAACTGTATACAGCAAAGTAAATCAACTTTAAATGGGATAAAATATTTGAACTGAAGCGCCTTTTGTTGCTGGATATGGATCGTATCTTTACAACAAAAAGGTAAATGAAAAATATCACATATCTTTCATAGTGTGCTGAGAGCGCATGGACGTCCATACATGAAACATAGTTGTCGTTTGTGTTTAGTGATTTTTCACTTGACAAGTCGGCCTTAAAAAGAAAACTTGCTCTAGAGAAACTAGGCTATACGTTTGCAAATTCGTCAACTGAGAGAGGTTAGTGAACTTGCTGGTCTAGTAGGAAGACATGGCAAAAAACAGAATAATATTTTACACTTACATATATAGCGGTTATAACTACAGAATCACAGAAAATATGATTTACCGCTATTAAAATTAAGCAAACAGGACAGAAATGTAACGACGACATCTAAAATGGAACAAATAAAAATCCTACGGGAGTTTTAAACCTCGTCCTAGCTCTCCTACATTTCAAGCAGCGACATTTTTATCAAATCGGATCCGGCTAGACTCTTCTGCAACAATAAGCCCATAACGTGTCTTGATCCTAACTTTAAACTGTATTAATTTTATACGTTGGATATAAACGACAGGGTTTTTTACTAGCACTATAGTTGAACGAGTTAGGTTGGCATCAGGGCGAAGGGAGAGAGGGCGTAGAAACGGCCATACATCGAGCGGACCCATCCGTGATGCGGGCTTCGCCGGGGCAATTTTCCCTTTCGTAAACGGTCTTTGCCATCCCATACGGTCTTTGCCATCCCTGCTCGAGTTGCATCTCGGGAGCTCGCGAGTTCTCGCCACGCGCTACGAGCGCGTTTGCATTATTACGTGTGTTCGTGAAAATTCTTATATAAATTTTATTTTTGAGTGAAAAATATAAATGGCGGCAAGCATAAACTTAGAGGGCTTTGATGATTTACTAGAGAACGCGTTAAAGAAAGTCGATCACCGTTTCCATTGTGAGAAACAGACACAAGAAGAAAAGCAGAAATTTGAGAGTGCTGTTTTGGAAAAGCTTCCCGAGGATTACCTTTACGAAGTCAATGAATGTTTAGGTACTGAATCACAGTTTAAGTTGAAGGTAACTACAGATAATCTTTCGTCGGATGATTTAAAAGGATGGCTTGCCGAATTTCAAGCCCTCAACAATGTAACTCTCAAAGTTAGAGCAAAGAAGAGAGAAACGAAGGGTTATTCGACCCAGCATTACTATAGATGCCAACAAGACACCAGACGCTGGAGTCCAAGTAAGGACCCCCAGCGGAAGCTGAAATTGAATCCAGCTGCCAGAGTGAAAAATACTAACTGCCCATTTCACATGGCTGTAAAGATAGATGCACAAAACAACTGCGTTATTGATATTGAATGGGAGCACAACCATTCACTATGTACTTTGGAGTCATCAAATTTTAAGGAATTGTCTACAGCAAGCATCGAAGAAATTAAGGAGCTGTATGAAGCAGGTGAAACCCCATCTACTGCACGCCAGATATTCCTGAAGAAATTCCGGTCTAGCTGCTCGAACGACCTGGACTATCATGTGAAGAAAGCAGATCGCTCCATGGTACCAAGGAGACGGGACTTTTGCTACATGTATCAGCAGTATGGCAAGGAGAGATTTGGTGGAAAGAATGGTGAAATGCTGGATAAACTATCTGCCAAGTTGGATGAGTTCCACGAAGCTAACCCTGATGCCTCAGTGGAATATCAACAGTATGGTGGTGATAATACTCCATTGATAATAGCCATAGTGACGCCATTGATGAAACGCATACATAAGTGTGTTCCACAAAGTGGAGAACTCATCTTTGTGGATTCAACATCAAACACTGAGGAGCATAATCTTAAGGTGTTCCTTCTTTGCGCTGCTAATGTTGCAGGTGCACTTCCTTGTGGCTTACTGATAACCAGTGATGAGAAAGAAAGCACATTGAAACATGGTATGTAATATATACAGACCCAAAACCTAATTTGTTTCCCCCACTTCACTCTGCCTTAAATGCCAGAATTAGCTTTAGGCGTAAAAAAAAATACCTGTGGTTCCGGTTTTATATCGCCAAAAAATTAGGGTCGGTAGGTTGGAAATAATTTTTTTTGAATAATTTTTTCATGTTTTGTTCAACAATTATAGTGTGACAACAGATGCCATTGGGCCATTCCATTTAATGTAGCCCCCCCCCCCCTCCATCCCTGATAATTGTTAAATTTGTTTATAATATATGCTTGTAAAACACAAAGTTTATATCACTAGTGTTAATAACAGTTATCAACTAATCTTGGTGATTATCCTACAGAGAAAAAGTAAACCCCACTCTGTATAAATAGGGGGGTGGGGGTGGCAGTGATATTTGTCAAAAAATGCAAAATTATAATGTTTATTTCACCTATTTATTCAAATATTAATACAATTTATATAATAATTTTTGCAAAGTTGTGTACAGATACTTATGTAACTTCAACAAAGTGTCACATACAAAGTCGATATTTCAAGTGAAGTCACATTCATTCTTCGGTTCGATCTCGGAATGTCTTCAGTATATGACACTTTGTTGAGGTTATATGTAGTACACAACATTGCAAATCTCAATATTTAAAATTTTTTTTATTGTATTAATAATTTGATATTTGTACATTGTAATGTACAGCTATTGCTCTTCAACTCCCAGTTTGTATAAAAAGGTAAAAAATATTAGCAAGTTGTGATACCGTAAACCTCAGAATATAAGCCCCCCTCCCGAATGTAAGCCGCCTGTGTATAAGCCCACCACATGTACTAACGCCATGTATAAGCCCCCCCCCCTATATTATCCCCCTTGTATAAGCCCATCAAAAATTACGAAAGAATATAAGCCTAGGGCTTATAGTTGGAGGTTTACGGTAATGTATACTGTAATTTGATGTGATACTTATTCGATCAAGGTATCACATTTGATAGATACTGTATATCTACATGATATATGTATTTTACTTGATCAAGTACTGATGGAAACTATATTGTTGTACATAATTATTGTATGCTCACTTAAAATGTTTTCTTTCAAGGTTTTTCCATGTTAAAGCAATGCTTACCAGAAGATGCATTTTATGCTAATGGTCCTGAGCATGGTCCTGCTGTCATTCTCACTGACAACTGCCAGGAAGAAAGAAGTGCTTTAAAGTCAGTTTGGTCATCCACAAACATGCTTTTGTGCACCTTTCACATTCTGCAGCAAGTATGGCGGTGGCTTTTGGATAAGAATCATGCTATCAGTCAAATGGACAGACCACCTATTATGAGTCTTTTTAAAAGGGCTGTATTAGCAGATACCGAAGAATTATTTGAGGAATATTACAATGAACTCCTTGACGAGATAGAGCCATATGAGAATGCTTCTCTATACTTTGAGGAACTATATTCTGACAGAGAAGCATTTGCACATTGTTATCGTTCCAGTCTTCGCATACGAGGCAATCACACCAACAATTTTGTTGAAGCACAATTTCTTGTTCTGAAAGATATTATTCTTAAAAGGACAAAAGAGTACAACATTGTGGCTCTGCGTCCTACATTAAAGACAATAGATAATGAGCTGAAATGCCTCATTATCTATTGTTTTTAATATATTCGGCACATGTGAAGTACGGCGTATGAAACGGGCCTTAGTGACAGATCTTGGGATTGGTGTACTACAAAACTATATTGACTGAAGTTTTGGAAAAATTTAGCCAACTTTTGAAGGATTTTATTAGGTCCAGTTCACATGAGACTGGAACGAAGTCAATTAACCGGGACCATTTCGTTTTGGTCATTTTAATATATTATATATAATAGACATGTTTACATGAGGTCTCAAGTCATTCCGCCTGCTGGACCAAGCCGACTGACTCAGACCAGTATGAATTCGGACTGGAATGAATGTTGACATTGGAACAAGTGAACAACACATGCTAACAAAAGTCATCTAAAAAAGAAAATTGCCTGGCAAGGGGAATAAATTGAAAATTTTGTGATTTTCATACTGGTCTCATGTAAACATGTAAACATGTTGACATGCAATTTCAATTTTCATTCCAGGTTGTGATTCAGTATCATGGGATGAGGTTAGGGGCCTGTTTATATGATCCCGGCCAGGCGGGACGGGATGCTTACCGAAATCCCGCTCATAATACAAATGCTAAAGAGTGTTTATATGATCCCGCCACTTATCCCGCCTAGACTGGATTTCGGCAACAGATGCCGGGATCCTGCCTAAGCGAGATGAAAAATTCCCATATAAAAACACTTCATCCCGCCTAGCCGGGATGAAAAATTCCCATATAAACACTTCATCCCGGTTAAGGCGGAATGAATTGTTCCCTTTTGGGCATGCGTAAATGCCTTTATTGCAACAAAAATATTACGTCAAGCACCGAATGGTTTCATCCCGGAAATGTATTTTGTCCATATAAACACTAGGCGAGTATCCTGTCTTGGCGGGATGAAAACGTCCCGTCCCATCTAGGCGGGATCATATAAACAGGCCCTAAGGAATTGAAAGATTTTATAAGCGAGCAATGCTTAAAAGCAAGATATAAACAATGAAAGAAATGGCACTAACAGAGCCACAACTTCTCCAGAAGTGTAAAATTCCATGATACTGAATCACAGTTTGCAAGTTAATCCTTCAAAATTTAGTTAAATGTTTCCAAAACTTCAGTCAATATAGTTTTGTAGTACACCCATCTTATTAAGGGTTCCTTTCAGCTTTCACCTTGCCAAGACCTGTCACTAAATTATGGGTTGCCTGAATAGATATAATTCCTCAAATCATGATTTTTGAAGTTAATTTGATAGATATTTTTAATTGCATGGATTATTGGGTCACATTTTTCTGCTATTTAGCCTTAATATTGTAGACTTTTTTTAGGAAAGGAATTGCAAACAAGCGCATACAATGGCAATTCTTCTTCAACTTTTAATGGGCAACAATTTCTAAATAGCAAGGAAGCTGAATGACTGTATGGGTATGGACTATGGATAGCTCTTTCATGGGCTCTGCTCAGTTTGTATGTTGTAACTTATGTCGAGCCATTGCAAGTGAATTTAACAAAGCCAGCGAACAAAACTGACAAAAATATACACGATTTAGTTGCACATTTCAGCTTGGAGTTTGGTACTATTTCAACTGTCAATTCGACCTCGAACTTTGAAAGGTTCAAAACCTATCTGTCTCATGTTTGCTCACTCTATAATTTTGTATACGCAAAGGTTTTCATCATAACTTAATAACAAATTATAATTTAGGTTTTGGAAATCATTGGTTTTTTATCAGGAAGCAGTGCGCGCTAACACTCTCGGACAACATTTCGACTGCCATTTTTAACCACCAAATTAAACAGAGTATATAAATAAAATAACACCCGAAATAAAGTTTTTTGTTACTTAAATCTTATCTTTAAGTTTCTTATAGTAGCTGAAAGTAACAAAAACATATAAAGTTTACACAAGTAATATCTTATAAAGCAATAGTTTCAGCATACCTTCTGATGGGTCATATACGCGTAGCCATATTTGTTTACAATTAGAACGTCTTGCCCCCGCGAAGCCCGCATCACGGATGGGTCGCTCGATGTATGGCCGTTTCTACGCCCTCTCTCCCTTCGCCCTGGTTGGCATCGTCGTCGCATTGTACTCTTAATTTCTTCACTCAATCACTCTTAATCATGCAACTGTTACGATTTACTACAGAATGGCGTCATTTTGTAAAATATGGTCTAGTGCAAAACGGAACGTATTTGGTAATTATACACGTCATCATGCATCAGCCTTCCCTATAGTCTTTACAGTGGAATAGTTAACCTGCACCGAGAACGAACGAATATGCAAGTATTTCTAAAAGGAAGAAAGCTTGGTTAACCAGCAACACTATCATGTATAACGTTTATCGTAACAAAGTTAGAAAACTATGTAAACTGCTCGTCAGTCCTACTACGATAAGAAAATCCTTAATACCAGTGAATCTAACTCCCCAAAAAAATGGTACGATAACATCAAGTCTATTTCTGGTCTATCTAAATCGGAACCTTTTTCGAGCATCTTCCATGATGGTGAGTTCAAAAGAGGTCCTGAGCTTGCTGAACTAATTGCTGAATCTTTCTGTGCTGTTTCAAACGAATTGGCCCCACTCTGCTTCAATAAACTTCACATTACATCTGTTCCTGATGAGTACATAATATCAACCCAACAAGTTGAAATCGAATTGGAAAAGATCAGTCTTCAGAAAGCAATTGGCCCCGACGATATCCCCAACTGGGTACTGAAATCAGCTGCACCGTTGCTCGCTGGTCCAATATGTTCCATCTTCAATGCCAGCATTGCACAAGGTTGCATCCCGACACTCTGGAAATCAGCAGACGTTATCCCAGCGCCAAAAATATCTAATCCCAAATCAGTTGATAGTGACCTAAGACATATTTCTCTCACACCGGTGCTGAGTAAATTATTGGAAAGCTTTGTTTTTCGGTGGCTCTTTGGTTATATTAAACCATCAATCGACCCCCTCCAGTTCGGAAATATGAAAAATTGCTCCACCACACACGCTCTTATCCACATGATCCATAACTGGCTAGCCGAATTAGAAAACCCTGGTTCAACTATCAGATGTTGTATGATTGACTTTTCGAAAGCCTTTGATCGCATCGATCACAATATTTTACTTCATAAATTACAACAACTCAACATCCCTCCTATCTTGTTGAATTGGTGCGCTGAGTTCCTGCATGACCGATATTTACGTGTCAAGCTTGGCCAGAATAAATCAACATGGCGACAAATAAATGCAGGGGTTCCACAAGGTACAAAGCTTGGACCCCTCTTCTTCCTTGTGATGATAAATGACTTGCAAACCAACACTCCAATGTACAAATATGTCGATGACTGCTCCACATACGAAATCGTTTCAAGATCGTCCCCTACTTCATCGCTTCAAGCTAATATAAACACTATAAATGACTGGACCAATCACAACAACATGCGGCTTAATGTATCTAAAACCAAAGAACTGCGTATATCCTTTCTTAGAGTCCCTATGGTATTCGATGCCCTCTCGTCACCTGGTTTAAACATAGAAATCGTCCAGACCTTCAAACTTCTGGGAGTGATAATATCATCGGATCTTACCTGGAATGCGCACATTGATTACATCTGCACCAAAGCAAGTAAACGTCTTTATGCTCTAAGGATCCTCAAACGATCTGGTGCCCCAGCCAATGATTTAATAACGGTCTTTTGTGCATTTATTCGTCCAGTTTTGGAATACGCCTCACCTGTATGGCACTTTTCTCTCCCTCAATTCCTCGCTGATCAAATCGAGAGTATACAAAAACGTGCATTGAAAATCGCTTTCCCCCAGTCCTCCTATACTACCTCACTAAGAAACACTGGCCTTCTTACACTTTACCAGCGAAGAGAGAATCAGTGCTTGTCATTCTATACGAATATCCATCAACACTCAGACGATAAGTTGAGAACGCTACTTCCCAGTGCTATATCTCACAAATTCAGTCTAAGAAATAAACGCACTTATCCTATGTATAAGTGCAAAACTGAACGATATAAGAACAGTTTTATCCCAAAGTGCGTTAGAAACTGGGACCGACCATAGACATAACAAAATATTTTATAGTACATATCATTAATATAGTTTATATTATAGTAGTTTTAAATTGAACTTTTTGCAAATTTAAAAATTTTAATACTATCTATGTAACATCAAGTTTTATAAATTTTTATTAATTTACAATGTGGTAATTATTAAAATCAATCAATCAATCAATTTCATTGAAATCGCTAAAGCTGATTGGTTTGCATATTTAATCATGTACTGCAGGAATAGACCAAAGAGTTAACATGCACAACTTAGACCTGGATCAAGTCCGTCTCTTTAGGGTCCGAGGGAGAGCGCGAGGTGCAATAACGCGGGAAAGTTTGAGAGAGAAGACGAACTTGGCTCACCTGCAAGCGCGCCAAATTTACCGACCCGTTTTTCCGTCGGTAACGCGTCATGACATAACTAGATTGCAATAATTTATGCTAATTGCAATAAAGCGGAAATAACACAAAGTATCTTGTTGCAAAATATATAGATTGCTTGTCTCTCTTCGTGTCTGGTTTAGTTTATACTTAATTAATGATGAATACGTTTTAAGAAGGTTATTGATATGATTATACTATATAAAACTGTCACGGCAAACTTCATGATAACACGAAATATTGATACAGTCAGGGATATATATTTTGTTCAGGACAAATTTTGTGTCATATAGTCATAATAATTAACTACAATAGTCTATAGATACGATAAAAAGTGTATCTTTAAATATAAGGCTTATAGCTATATATTAAAGGCGTATTTTGTATTAAAGTGGAAGTCAAGTCCGTAATGTAAACACACTGATTTGTTTACATTTTGAACTGCTGTATTTTTTAAAATATGATGCACTGTCTGAATATCTAACACCATTTTGGTTCGCTATGCTTCTAAATGAATATGAAATAGAGCTTAAGTTCAGAAAAAAAATTCGAAACATTCGAAGTTTGGGCAATGTTTACATGAGAGGGTCCTCACATTGTTATGAGCAGAATCGATGCGCAGAACGGACTATAACATTAAAATATTTGACCAATTTAACATTAAAATATTTGATAATTCGCTAATCACACAAAGTGACAAATCTGTTCGACTGAGGCAGTTTAGGGTCTCAGAATCGGTTACAATGTCAATTATAATAAATAGATGTTGATTGTTGATATATTGCCTTAAGTTAACTTTATTTTGCAGTGACCTTTATATTTTAATATTTTCAATGCAAGACTATTTTGTTTCGATCGCGACGGGTATTTTAACGTTTTGCCCTTACATGCACTTGTGGATTTCCGTATTTGTAACAAAACCGCTAAATTAATAACACCTGTCTATTACTATAATTCCCACCAAAATAATAAATCTGATTCGAAACACTGCAGGTGAGCCAAGTCCGCCTCTCCCTTCTTTCTTGCAAAAGACGTTCTAGAACTTTGTTTATTATGCACAGTAGGGAGATAGGACTGTAGTTGATGGCTGGTTCAAGGGAATCCTTTTTTTGCACTGAAGTAATATTGGCCATTTTCCATTCCGACGGTAAACGAGCTGTTTCTAAAGATCGGTTGAAGAGGGAGCAGAGGCTTGGCGCGATTTCATTGCTACAAGTTTCAAGGAGACGAGCAGGGATTTCATCAGGCCCACTTGCTTTCGTGATGTCCAGAGCGTTGAGATAATTTGTAACGTCTTCAACTGTTACAGTGAGTTCGGATAACAATATTTCGGGTGGAAGATAATCTAGTAAATTCGTATTGTCGATGTCTTGTTGCGAAGTGGGACGACGAAATACAGAAGAGAAATATGAATTGAACAGTTCTGCCTTACCAGCTGGTGTAGTTGTTGTTTTGCCATTATGTGTTATTTTCGAAGTTGACTTCCCATGATGGTGTAAGATAGCCTTGTGGTAACTCCAGAAACAATTTGGGTTGTCCTTGAAAGAACCTTCGATTTTATTGAGACTGGTACTCACGGTGTTTTGCCCTTATCAAATATTTCACTTTTTGACTTAGTTCGCGCAGGTTTTGTTTGCGGATATCAGATCTGTCCTTCCGAAATTTTCTCAAAGCATCATATTTTTTTCTTATGAAATGGCGAACTTCTCCGTCAATCCAAGACGGACATTTTTTGTCTTTATTTATTTATTTATGACAATATTTAAATAGGAAACTCTCTCACGTAAAGTGATTTTCAGAGAGGTCCTATATTTAAAAATATACATATATAAATATGAGTCATAAAAACCAAATCCATTACATTACAATAAGGTTAACGTTAAAAATCAGTAAAAGTATGCCTAGTGTTTAAATTACAAGTAAGACTAAGAGCTGTGAGCTATCTATAACAATAAAAATAGTAACTAAATAGAATTCAAAGAGTATGTATACGTCAGCATGCTATGAGTGTTATAATTCAGCACTAGTGAGTTTTAAAATAGTTCATTTTGAACTTAGCAATTGAGTCTGAATGTCTAGTCTCTTCGTCAAGAGTGTTCCAATCGTTTACTGCATGGTACTCGAGCCTTTGTTTGCCCCAATTTCGTTTAACTTTAGGCAAGCATAAATTGTTCTTATTTCTAGTGTTATAGGAATGAAGTTCGCTTAGCGATTTCAAGATTAGCTTAGACATAGATAGCCCATTCAAACATTTAAAAATGAATAAACATCTATATGATAAAATCGACGTTGGTGAAGCCTGTTCCATCCCAACTCATCCAGCGCAGCACTAGGCGAAGAAAGTGGGTGATAGTCAAGGATGATTTTTGCTGCTTTGTTTTGGAGAATTTGTAAATTGCCCATCAGTACGTCATTGTTCTTATCACCCCATACCAGGTCGCCGTAGTCAAACAGAGGTAAAATAAGACTCTTGTAAAAAAGTAGTTTGCGTATCGCGGTAGCAGATGCTTAATTCTCTTCAGGAGCCCCAGGCGTTTGCTGATCTTTGAACAGAGTTGGTTAACATGTTCAGTCCAGGTCATATTAGTTGAAAAAGTTATTCCAAGATACGAGAATTCTTCGACTCTTTCTATATTACTGCCAGCTACCTTGACTGTGACGGAATCAATATTAGAAAGTTTACGGCTACTCCCAATGATCATGAATTTGGTCTTTTTTGTATTCAAAGTTAGTTTATTCTCATTAAGCCAAACACAAACATTACGCAGGTCGGCATTTAGTTTCTCCTCCAGATCCTGGGAAGTGTTAGAAAAGTAATACAGGACAGTATCGTCTGCGTAAAGAAATAATTGTGCATGTTTAATGAAACTTGGTATCTCGTTGATATAAATCAAAAAGAGTAAAGGGCCAAGAATACTGCCCTGTGGGACACCAAAGTTACAGCGTAATGGTTCAGACAGCTCAGGACCGCAAGTAGTTCGAAGCGATCGAAAACTTAGATAGGAAGCAAACCATGCTATATCTTCAGTAGAAACACCAATGGCAGATAATTTCTTCAGCATAACAGCGTGATCGACCGTGTCGAAGGCCTTGGACAGGTCCAAAAACACGGCACCGCACACTTCTCCCTTTTCCATACTGGCCAGAATCTCGTCAGCAAAACTCGAGAGTGCTGTTGTTGTGGAACACTTTCGGCGAAAACCAAATTGATTATCATTGAGAATGTTATGTTCTGTTAAATAATCATAAAGTTGAGTATAAACAGCTTTTTCCATTAACTTGCTCAATGCAGGTAGAACTGATATTGGACGGTAATTAGTTGCGTTCGCTCTGTCCCCAGATTTGTACAAAGGAAAGACCTTCGAACATTTCCAACTTGAAGGGAATGTATGATTTTGAATGGATTTATGAGCTTTGTAATCGAAGGAGCAATTATTTCTGATGCATCTTTAAGTAGCTTTATATTTATCTTGTCCAAAC